AATATAAGCAATTAATAGTTCATGAACACTACCAGTTAATGTTGATAGATAGTGATATAATGGAATAATAAATGTATTCATTCCATTCAATGTATAATAAATAATAATAGTTATAAATGTACATAATTTACCAAGTATATCCTCTTTGAGTGATAAATAATCGTATAAATAGTCAAGTTCAAACCATTGTTTTTCCATATCAATCTTTAATTCATTTGTAATTTGAACAATCTTATCCTTTTCATGATGAATAACATATTCAAACATGTTTGCATTTGCTCGTGAATATTTTGATTGTAATTTATCATATTTTTCGATGGTTTTTAATTTAATATCAAGTAAATTCTTACTTTGCTTGTTCAAATAGAAATGATAGAAACATGCATAAACAATACCAATCAATATAGTTGCAAGTGGACATATATAAAATACAGTTATGATTGTTAAAATCAATTTTGAGAATGCTTGCAAATGATTAATTAAGTCTTCCATAAGAAATTGAATAGACTCTGAAGCTTCTTCCATTTTTCGTCGAATTTCGACTTGATCAGATAATTTAATTTTGATCCAATTCGCACTAAGAATTCGTTGATTTAATTTTGTTTGAAAATGCTTAAGAAAATCAAGAACAAAAATTTTCTTAGCTGACCCTTGTTTAAGTAAACAATACGATGAAATGTTTTCAAATATCATCATTACAAAGAGATATTTTAAACCTTGAGCAACATTTACCGTAATTGTAGAGAAAAAAGATACATTTAAATACGTAGTTAATGTCATTGAAATAGTAGTTAAAAGAAACCATTGAGTTAAAGTCCATGGTCTAAGATCAATAATTATATCAAATATAATTTTGTGTAAATCCCATGGAGATGAACTTTGAAAGAAATAAAACCACATTTTTATCATTAGAATTGTTCTGATATGCTTCTTGTAAAAAATTTCTTGATTAAATACTATTTGTTGTTTTTCCTGTGTAATGTTATAAAGTACGTCACGAGCACGATAAGCACAGGTGCAATGACGATGATTTTGCAATAGCACCATTTCTTACGAAATTTATGACGCTTACACTTTAAAACCTTATCTATGATGTAATTACAGTATATAATTGCTGCAATATTTTATTGTATAGCAGCAATCGGTTTCTAAAACATTTATTATTATACTGTGTACGATTTAACTGTAGACTACAATTTCTGTTTAACATAATTGTAATTTTTGAAATGAGTACATAAAAATGAAACAAAAGTATTGATAGATGTTAATAAGATTTTATGAAAAAAATACGTACTACCTGATTAAAATTATTTTCATTGACATTTAAATTTGCATAAAATTTTTATTTACGATGACTCCATTATGTCTCTTGTTCACTCTGTTTTCTTCAGTAATAATTAATAAAACAAAATTTATTTATCAATTTTCTTTGCAAATAATTCAGAAATATTTTTTATTATATTAAAAAAATAAAAACAAGTTGTTTTTAAATATAAATTATTAGTTTAGAATTTGATTATCAAAATGTACATTTAAATGATTCATTTTTCTAGTTAAACCAGAAATATTATTTAAAGTATGAACAAATGTTCCATCAGATTTTTCATATGATAATAAACCACCGTCGATAAATTTTCCAATATGTATTCTATCTCGACAAATTTCACTATCAAATATCTGTATAGATATTTTATTATTTAATATTTCACTCGGCGAAATTAATCTAAGATGTTCATTATCTTGTTTTGTTAGTAAATATCGTCCTGGACAATTTTTTATTTCCTTCCAGGAATACAATGTAAAAAGTTTCATAAAACATAGATCTTCATTTTCCATATGTTATACAACGTTCTAATAATATAGATACTAATATATTCGAATATCTGAAATAAAGACAACTGAATTTTAAAACTGATGATGTAAGTCGTTTCTCTTATAAAATTAACTTTGCTATAGTATTATTTACACATAAAAACCGTATTCTAAAATAATGCGAAATTGTATGATTTAAATCGTTTCATCGTCATAATAAACTACGATCAGTTTACTTTATGAATGAACAACATTAATAATGAGTTGATTATTTCATCAGATGTAAAATAAATGACTATAACAAGCAATAGGAAAAATTCTATGCGATCTCAAAGCCATCATAGCAATATGATCAGAAATGAAGTTATATACGTTCGTTATGAGCCATATAGAGAAATTGATAGAATGAAATAGTTTTATAATATAGAAAATTTTACAATATTTCATATCCATTAAGAAATACGTCCAAGAGAGAAAAACATCTTTCGTCGATGCTTTGTTTTCAAACAACAATAAATCTATCCAGTCATCATGATGTTTAAAGGTAACTTTCATAATTGATAAATTTTCTCTTACCTTCAATAGAGATAACAAATATTGTTTAATACTTGAAAATATTTCATAACATTTTCAAATTCGATTTGTTCTTCATAAGTCTTTTAAAGTTTGTAAAACTAAAATAATATCCAATTGGAATTAATCGTTTTAGATACAAATCACGATGATAATTAAGATCAGAGTAATAACACGTCGAATCATTACGATAAGAGGGAAATAATTCATCTATAAAGTAGAACTTTCTTTACTCCAACATCCGAAATAAGTACAGAGTAAATATATAAATAATTTAATTAATAATATGAATAAAAGACATCTGGATTAGTTAAGTCGAAATTCATAATTATTTGCATTGCTTGTTGTCATTGAAAAAACTATGTTCTCTACTTTCTCATAGTAGATAAGTAGACACGTGTGTGTGTGTTCGTTTTTTTGTATATATTTACTTTGACTCATAGATAGAAAATCACATAGATACGACCATAAACTTTTCTTTTTTATCTATTTTAAACTATCAGATTATATTTTGAAACTAAAAATCACTGTCAATTTCAAGGTATTCATTTTAGGCAACTCTATTATATTTAATTATCGTCATAAACTCATGACATCTAATGGAAATTATTTTTTTGTAAAATATTTTTCTATTGCATATTTGAATCAAATTGATAAATACTGGTATTATGAAAATAATTATATTATTACAAAATTTTTCTTTTTTAATATACTATATAAATTTAAAAAATATATTACATCCATATAACTAATCGTTTTAATTCCCTATTAAAATCCGCATTGAATTGTTCTTGTTGAAGAATTGTATTCTCTTGTAACCATTGTTTTGCATTTGTCACGATATTTTCATTAGGTTGAATATCAACAACTAATGAAATTAGTTTGTGCGTTTTAAATTCTGATAATAAACATTTAACCATCGATTCCATAGAAGGTGTCGTTATTTCATTTAACTCTGTTTTTGGACTCGGCGTTAAATGCTTTATATCAGCATAGACATCGCAAAGATTAGTAAGAGTAGAAGCAATGAAATGTATATGTTCTTCATTAAGTTTTATCAGTGATGATGCAGTTCCATCTAGAATAACAAGTGATTTAATACTTTGTTTAAGTAAATCACGTATTTGTTGATTTTCAAGTAAATGAATAAGATAATCACATGGCAAATCCAAACGAAGAAGATTAGGTGCAGCAACGAAAATCGAAAAAAGATGAGTAAAATCAACCGGTATCGAAGCATATATATAGATTTGAGTAAGCTGATATAATGTAGGTAGACATGGTGATCGATATTGTTCGACTAAAATGAGATTAACCCGATTATTTTAACTATTCAATCTCTTTTCATCAAAGACTAAAACTGTTACCCTTATTTCGTGCATTATACATACCTTTGGCAGAATTATCATCCGATGTAACGAAAATTACAAGTTGTCTCATCTGATGACATTGTGCAATAACTGATAATGACATAGCTAAAGTTAAATTCTTGTCAACGATGACTTCTAACTTCTTCACTCGTGTTTCGTAACCAATCTCACGATTTGTTTGAGATGACATTAGTTTACCAATTGAAGTTGGAAATGACATGCATTTGAAATACCAAGGCAACGTATGAAGAAAACCATAGTCATCACTTGAACAACAAGTTATCGGATGTGATGATGGCCAGGAAGTAATTATTGTCTTAGTTTCATCAAATGATGTTACCGGAGCATAGAAAACAGCATAATGAAATTGTCGAACAGTAGAAGAAAGTAACGGTAGAAGTGTATTACCACGTACAAGACGTGAATCAGTTACACAAAGAAAAAGTGAAATTGTTTGTACATTAGGAAGTTGAGCAAGAATTCTTGATAATTCCTCTAATCTCCACCAACGTTTAGTAGATCTCAATTGAAAATCGATAAGATAATGAAGAGAACAAACATTTATTTCATCGCCCATCATATCATCGTTTTCATCTTCTCCAAGTGTAACATCTAAATGACGAATATAAGGAAGAGCAGTAAAGAGAGAAGGTAATTCCATGATAGTTTTTATTTTTATACGAAGTCGAATAATATTTGCATAACAATCTGTATCATTAAATTTCAAACAACTTGATCCATTATTAATTAAGACTGATGTAAGTAGATTATTATTTGCTTGTAATAATGTTTGAAGAACTGTTGTTTGATGATCTTCTTGTATACCGAAAAGATCATATATACGAATTTCAACGAGCTTATTTAAATCATGTAAACTCTCAAAAAAAGTCATTATATGTGCATGTTGAAATCCAACGAGAGAAATTTTTTTTAAATTAGGAAATATTATTGACATATTTTTGCTGAAATGTTCCATAAATAATTCTTGTTGCATTACTGAATAACAACGATCGATGAGTAATGATCGAATATGAGAACCGATTTGAGGAAGAACGTTTGTACATAAGTAAGATGATTGTGTAATAGATGCTTTATGAAGTGAAACATGATGGCAATATTTTGTAATCATACGTGTCATTCGTGAATTTAATCCATAGAATGATTGAAGAATATCTACACATAATAAGTATTGACAAATTTCCAGTAAAATTTCATCGGGTAATATTTCTAATTTGGATTCAATAGAAAATCTTTCCATCTGAAATATAGATTTTTGATATTGATTACTTATAAAAGCAATTTCTTTTTTTTTATCGACGACTGTGATGAAAATATTCTTAACTTATTTTTTATAAACATGTGCGTTTGCGTCTCACATGTTGCGACGCCGTAAATAAGCCGTATATTGTGGGTCTGTGCTTGTTGTTGAGACAGAAACGAAGAAAAAAAAACGAGAGAAAAGAAAAAGACAGAGCACGTCTATTATTTTTTCTTTCTGTTAATAACGTGCAGTGCAAGGACGATGGAGAAAAATATACTACATTTTGATTCGAAAGCGAGAGACAACATCATCGTAGCGTTATCTTTTTCAATGACAAGGAAGGTCTATATAGAAATCATTCATCCAATTATCTCCTATGATAATTGTCTTTCGGTTCATATATGAACTATTTTATGATATGCGACCGTTTTCTTTAGATCAAATTTAACAATGTTTATATTGAGTAGGTGTGTCTTCATAATAAGATGTATTCCAAAGTATCTCTTGAAATGTTAAAATTAAAAGGAGAATATATAAGTTATTACATAGTTATTAACGAAATTTTACGCATATATTATTTATGTGAAATTTTTGATATTTGAAAATATAATCAATGGTAAAAAAATATTAATCATCGTTTTGGCTTAATTTCAAACGCATATTTACTTCTTCAAGTAATTATTCATAAGATACTCTGCCTTATTATATATTCAAGTTGGAAAATACAGAAGTTTAATAAATGCACATGGAACATAAATACTATCAGTCAAAATCTATCAAATAGTATTCCACAAATCTTAGAATAGTATAATAAATGAATAACAAATTATTACATCAATCACTAGACGATAATAAACTAATATGTATTTCTCGATCGTAGCTATTCATCGATCATAAAATATAGATTTATATCTTCTTATGGGTAGATTTAGAAAACAACCCAATTTAATATAAATAAACTGAGTAATGAAAAACAGCTTAGAAAAGATAGAAGATCGATGATACTTGTCAAGAAATGTTAGAATGATCGTTACAAAGAAATCATATAAACTACTCGCCAATTCCTAAATGAGATCAACGAAAGTATATGGTGAATTAGATACAATCAAGTGATAATACATTATACAACGTAAGAGATACCGAAATTGAATGGAATAAAAAATTCTGATTAATAACAAAAAAAAACTTACCGATATTATATGAAAATATAAGTTTTTTCATGTATCTCTGATTAATAAACAGTACACCATAGGCTAAATTATGACGATACAATATAATAACCAATTCATACCAACATATTTTCATCCGTTTGTTTTTACTATATAATCTTTGTTATGATAGCAAGTAATATATCTTGTCAAGCTGCTATATCCTTATATTATGTTATAAAAACATTTCGATGTATATATATGTTATAGTAAGCAGTAAGAGACTTTCCGATATTCATATATACTAAAGACATCTATTAAATCAGAGCGTATAATGCGATCATACTAGAAAATATGAAAAGAATCCATAGGTTTTGTATACTTTATAGTAGTTGATGTAAAAATTTTAAAAGTCTTTATTGATTTTAATACTATTAGACTACATCGATCTAATTAAAATGTAGAAGCATAATAATAATTAGTAAGGAATCGAATATTTGTGAAACTTTGGAAAAAATTAAAAACTTTAGAACTAAAGATGCTTTATAAAGCAAGAATATATATTTTGTTTTGAAAACAGTTCATCCCTTAACAATTTGCCCTTTTTGCGTAAGTCATTTGTGATGATTTTACTTAAAATGCAATATCATATAGAACAATATCCTATCAATTATAAAATAAAGAATGAATAATACTTTGAAGATTTAGTTTCGTGTTGAGAGTGTAAGTAAGAAATAAACATAATAGTCCTACAACAACATCACATCGTTCTGTTTATTCGATGAAATGTTCTACAACAATTTTTTTCTTGCTATCATTTAAGTGGTTACCAATATATTTAAAAATCAGAAAATTAAATAAAATGATAAGTATAAAAATCAATATGTGCTATCGTGGAATTCACGTTTTTTTTCGTACTAAGGTATTGTTCAAATATTTTTTTCTCTTCAGACGATTCAGGTATTTTTCAAGACATGATACAAGTTGTTCAATATAAAATTGTGGTTGGATGAAAATGAGAGTGAATGTGTGTGTGAATAGCGAATAGACACCCACATTCACCCTACTTTGAAATATTGCAGATGGGTGAGAGAGGAAACAAGATTGGCCAGCAAAAGCGAAACCTGCTTTGTTAATATAATAGTTGAATTTTCATTTTCCTTTTTCCCATTCATTGTTTGAGTTTCTACTTAATGTTCTTCTGGATTTTTCTCACTTCTATCTTTTTCAATTTAACTCAAATGTATTTTTTTAATACTAAATTAATCTTTATATCAACAATTAGTGACCATTTTATTAATTTTGCTAACCAAAAACTACGTTCTTTTTTTCTATTGCCCTTTTTATCGAATTTTTCGTTTACTTTTACCTTTTCTTTTCGTCGGTATTCTCCAACTTTTGCTATCATTATAACTTCTTATCTGCAGTCTAGAAATAAATATTTATTGCCTTTATTTGTCTTTCTAATAGGCGCATGCTCTTTTTTGTTGGTATTTTTTTCAAAAGATTCATACTGAGTCAATAAAATTCAGACTATAAAATAACGAGAAGACCTAAGCATTTTATAGGCTAAGAGCGCATGCATTCAATATATTAAAATTATTTGGAAAGAATCAAGTAAGAAAATTTAAAGCCTTACCGATTCGCTTTTTATACATAAATACATTGAAATTTTCGTTTTTTATATAAAGATATTCTACTAATAAATTTTTTAATTTGTTAGTCGAACTCAATGTCATCACATTTTAATATGTTGGTACATCGTTTTCGTAATACCCATTCTGATAATATTTTAATCGATTCCATCGATAATGTAAGACTATTTGGTTGGATAAATCATCAACAGACAATAAGAGTACTGATTTTCATTATAGAGCGTTCATGAGCGAGACTTACTTGTTTCTCGGAGTGATTTAAGAATGACTCGGGCGAGTTTAGAGGGTGTTTTTTCTGAACTACCAACTCAACATTCGTTCGCATGCAGAGAGGTATCTATCTAACCTTTTTTTTATATAAAGAATAGATTTTTCATCGATATTTAGGTGAAACGAAATGAACAACAAAATTTAATTATAATTGGATATGATATGACTTTGCTAAATATCATCAACTGGAATCAAGCAAAAAGAAAATTCGAGTCCTTTTTAGCTCGTCACTGTAATATTGATAATATAGATATTGATGTCTTAGGTATTGTTTGGAATGTCAACACTTGTTGGTATATTATGAATGCAACACCGAGGCTTCGACAAGCGCTGATACCTCGGCAAGCGCTGACACCTCGACAAGCGCTGATACCTCGACAAAGTAATGCTCTTCTTCATGCATCATTGGGAATTATTGCTGGTGTTGGTGCTCTTGTTCTCTTGGTTACAATATTTAATCCAGCTCGAAAGTGACCGTCTACTATGTGATACTTTATAATAATCAAGTTTTTTTTGTATAAATAATAGAAAAGAGAGAAGAAAATAAATTATTAATATACTGTTCAAAGCTGCAACATGTTCGAAACGACATTTAGTTCTATTTATTTCAAGTGACAACGAAAAAAAACAAGGTTATAGCAATTCATTAGTATTTATTTCCATATAATGATGCATTTCATTCTGAAATAGACACACGAATGAGCAATTAGCAATAACTAATCGGAAACCTTTGTAACTAAAATTAACGTTTGAATCTCATTGTAACTAATAACTAATGTTCATTCATATATTATATACATTTACCCTTTTTAAAACGTAATTCATGATTATTAATATCATCTAGATTATCGGATCACTAGCTGCTTCTAAAACTATCTGTCACTGGAAAATAAAACTTGGATTCGTTATTGTCGAAAAATGAATCAGTTAAATTCTATTTTTTTGTATACATCACATTTTTCTCATTTACTGCAATAAAATCTGATTAAATCATATCCAGACAACGAAAGATAAATGTCGAATAAAATGATCTAAGTCTATATCTGTGTCAATTTTAGAAATTTCATAAAAACAATCTCTCATCGATTGCACATATATATGGTAATACAAGTTATAAAGATACGACGTATTCTGATGTTAATCAATGAAAATAATTAATTGAATACTATATATATCACATTCATTTTAAGTAAATAAATGAAATTCCAAAACTCGATTAATTAAAAATTTCATATACATTATCGATGAATATAATCATCAAAGCTCATGTAGAGAAAATGAATACGATTTAAAAACTTCAAATTTTAATTGATCTTTGTTCCAAACGAATATATTTTGAATGAATTTGTACAAATAATATTAATCTATATTGTATTCATATTCCAAATGAAAAGATTCTTTGTAAATGATGAATAATTGTGAAGTAAGATGTGAAGTTTTTATTGTTTGAAAATAATTACTTTATATGTATATGGGTCATGTTTTTTTGATCATCACAATATGAGACGTTCGTATTCTTTGTAGAGTCGCGATTATTGCTTGTCTCCATATACACATCATATTTTGTTTTTTTCTGTCAAAAAAAGGAAAGAAAAATGTTTTGTTAAATGATTAATAATTACGTATTTAATACTGGAATATATATATATATAACGATTAAAAACAGATTCTGCATATGTACTCACTTTTTATTTCATCGTTATAATTGAGAAGACACTCGGAAAACTGGTAATCAATACTCGTTTCTTTGAATATTAGAAAAAAATATTGTTCATTTTCCAAAGAATAAGATACTTCATATATCACTTCACAATTATCAATTATTTACAGAAACCTTTTTCTTCATATAGATATTTCTTTGAATATTTTATTTAGAATATGAACACAACTAAACCAAAAGGTATGTGTTCTTCACTCTTCTAACTTACATAAAAAGTCTTTTCTTAGATTTTTATTATAAATATGATACATTTCAATGTGTACTAATAATTAATTTAGAAAAAAGCATCGACATCTTGCATTTCATTCCTTTTCTAATCATAATTATCTACTCATACGTTCGGGTCTATTCGAACAGAGAAATTCTTGGTACAAATTCTATCTGTAAATTTAGATAAATATAAACTGTGAATGAATATCGAATATATTCATTATAAAATAACAAAATTTTTGTCATATTATGTTTTAGATGAAAGGTTGTAATCATATTTACGTGAAAGTAGTTATACTATTTCTATTTTTAATATTAATCTATTATCATTTACCATTACAAACAAATTATTATGTGTTGAAAAATTCATTTAAATTAGTTCATCAAATCCTTAATCGAAGTCAAACTGTAGAAATATTTATTCCAATTTACACTAATTCTACTATTTTAAATCAAAGTATTATAAATAGTATTATCAACACTACTACTACTACTACTGCTAAATATCCTAATACTACTATGAGTACTAATTCTGAACTACCGACTACTATTGATTCAGTTGATTCTCTTATCGAAAGACCTCCGTCTACTTCACGTTCTAAGAAGAAAAATTCTAAAGGTACTTTAGTTGTCTTTGTTTTTCAAACCAAACATCATGTTCTTGCTAATCTTCAGTTATATCTTATTCGTAAACTTGCAATAGGTCTAGTAGCTATTGAATTGTTTGTTGATAGCTCACTAACACAAGATATGTACAATATTTCCATTATACATAAAGCTAATCTTCATGTATTTCCATTGGAAAAACATAAATATAACGATACACCATCTGAAAGAAATACTAATGTTGTTAATTGGGCTATATCAACAAGAGCTAAACGTTATCTCGGTAATGGTACTGCTATTCTATTACTTGATGGTGATGTTTTACCTTTAAGTCCTTTTGATTCAACAACATTATTAAATTCTCATGATATAGTTTGTCGAAAACATCCAGTAATATTTGCACGATATTGTTGGATTGGATTTATATGTTTAGCACCTGAATTATATGACATTATTGATAATTTTGATGTATCATTAACAAAACGTCATGGTATAGTTTATGATTCTGGTGGTAAAACTATTGAATTTCTTTTAAAATATAAAAATACATCATTTTCATGGATGAGAGAAACGATTTTTCTAGATACTGATAAAAATCTATTTTGGGGTGTCGTTGATAATGATATTCAATGGATTAAACAACATTTTTTTCGATGTGATAAATGTGGAGCTGAAGTATTTTTTTCACCATTTAATGGTAGTAATGCTGTTTTCTATCATATGATTAGTGCAACATCGAACTGGCGATTTAAATTTCAAGATCCACGACGGCAAGCATTATATGATTCGATAATGCAATCGCCCTATGGACCTAATCAAATTTATTCAACATCGGATATGATGGCATCTATAAAAAAAGTTCAAAAAATGGAAGTAATACCTTTCTTTGGAAATTTAACTTGTGAACAAACATGTGGAAGTTAATAATATGATATAATAAAAAAATTCTTTTAAATATTTCGAATATTTTAGCAAATTATCGATATATATTCTTTTATTGATTATATGTAAAATAAAATGAAATACCTTACTTTTTGATAGGCAACAATAATTTTTTAAGACTTGACCTTAATTCATTCTGCGTAGAGTGTATAAATAAAGAAAGAAATACTATGAGATTCGTTGAGTAGCATGATATGATACAACATAACTTTTCAATTCTTACAACAAAATCTATTCGATAGTAGTCAACTGCAAGAAAATATTGTCTAAACAAATGAGAATATTAGATTGTATTAAGTTATTGAGCATTTTGGTGATTCGCACACATATTATACTAAAGTTGTAAGAATCAACAACTTGACGAGTGACTATATTAGTATCGTTATATTAATCAAAGACTATAGTCTGATTTCTAGGTTCAGTCGCAGAAGATGAGAATGAAAGCGACTGTAAGTAAAGAACATTTATAACATCTACTTTATCAAAACAGTTTTAATGTATAATTGGATATATAATAATTACACAATCGAGAAATTAATTTTTTTGTTTGATGCTTTAGTGATATGAATATAAATATTAATATTAAATTGTCACCTGTGCTTTTACCTAACTCTGTCTTAAAGAAGAAATTTGAATAATATACTGTCAGGAGGATAATTGTAATTAATTATTGCATTTCATCACATATACATATTTTACTATATGAGAAACATGAAGATCTAACGTCATCTTTTATCACTTTATCAGAATAGAAGAACCAATAAGAAAACATTGGCTTTGTTATCAACAATATGTCACGTAGAGTTTGATATTTATCTTGAGTCTTTTGTTCGACCTTGAATCTTTCTTAAATAAAAAAAAGAGAAAAACATCTCACCTAATCTGATGAAATAACAATAATAAATTTCGAAATTTTACTTTTAGACAATAGTATATAATAATAAAATCTATAAAACAATTTAGATTTAAATATGACAACGTATATCAATGCATCGACACCAACTGGAAATGATCGTCGTATTAAATTATTGAGTACAGATTTAATATTTGGTGGTATTGATAATGTTTTTGTTTATCCATCTCTTGATATCGATAGATTGAAAAATGCTCTCAGTCATACACTTTCATCTTGGCTTATTCTAACTGGTCGAGTTTTTATCGATGATAATGAACAATATTTTATTGAATTTTCTGATAAATCTATTCCATTTACTTATATCGAGAATGATCAACTTGAACAATGGCCAAATCTTCCTGTCGTTGTTGATGATATGACAATACTTCAACCATTTATTGATTCAGTTCAATATAAACCAGAAATTGAACCACTTCTTCGATTGAAAGTAACTCGTTTAGTACATAGTGGTGAATATATTCTTGGTACAAGTTTTTGTCATATGATTGGTGATGCAAATTCAAATATTCATTTTCTTAATGATCTTTCTCAAAACTATCAACATCTTGAACCTTGTTTTCCTCATCCAGTTTTTGAACGACATCCATTAGATGAAGAAGATCCCGAAGTTTCTTTATTACCTATTTTAAAATGTTATCAAAATACCAATACAAGAGAACTTGTCATAGCTCGTATTATTAAAGAACAAACAGAAACTGATTATATTAATATATCATTTTCTTCTAAACAACTCGCTCAATTACATACGCTTGCTGGTGGTGTTCATAATGGTGTAACAGCTCATGATGCATTCTGTGCATATATAATTCTTACTATGAATAAATATTTATTTCTTACCGATGATGAATATATTCGTCGTACATTTATGTTAATTAATTATCGAAATACACCTGATTCCTTAGCAACAAATAGTAATGTAATAAATGCCATTATAACTACATTATCTTCAGATTTTCCGGAGCCACTATCGTTGTCTAGTATTGCTAAGACAATACGACAATTAGTTGAAACAACACGTCAAAAAGATTATCTTAGAAAATTAGTTACTTCAGCAAATATTCTTATGGCACAATTCATAAAAAATGGACATGTTAATTTTGTTTGGGATAAAAACGAAGTTATATTTAATTCGAATTTTAAATACGACTGGGCAAATGAAGCCAATTTTGGAATGATAAATCAATGTCGATTTCATACTATGGGTTTATTTAAATATTATTTTCGAATATTTCAATTGAATCCTGTGAAAGGAGATGATGGGAATTGGACAAAAGATAATGGAGGTGTTGAAGTAGCTTTTCGAATTCCAAAAGAACTAAAGGAAAAATTTATAGAAGCTTGCAAAAAGGATGCCGCAGAAAATTTTATTAATGTGAAATAAACACAAAAACCAAAAAGGTCGATATATGTGTTATCATGTCAAACTCCCTTTTCTTTTTTTACAAAATATTGATATAACAAAATAAATAATTTCCAATGTTCTTCGTAGTCCACAAATAAGACTTTGGCAAATGCTTAATATAAATGTCAGAGTATGATAAGTAGTCATTAAAGATTGTTAATGAGAAGAACGCTTTCGTTTGACTGATCGTCTTTCATTGCTTTTACGCCAACTACCTTGAAAGAAATGTTGTACTTTCGCTTCTGGATCAGTCATAGGTTTTGAACCCATTCTGTTCAGTCCTGGTGAAAATGCTGTTATTGGTAATACATAAATATCATTTCCTATAAGTAATGGTTGATTTAAATTCTTGAAATTACGCCATGAAAATCCATATTTGATTGAAACATAATTGGTTATAACATCGGTCCATATAGCTGGTCCAGTCCATTCTAAAATTTGTTTTTCACTTGTCATATCACGTATCATAGTACGACTAATATCACCAATACGTTTCACAATTTCATATAGAATTGGATGTCCAGGAGCAGCAGCAATTGTCCATTGAACAAATTGTATTTGTCGAGCATAATCACCTTGCCAAACATCCCATAGACTTGCATCAGCTTCAATTCCAATGATTAATCCTGTCCTATTCATTATCATTCCTTTAATCCATGTATCAATTGGTTGAAGACAAATAGTATCCACATCTGTATAGATTCCACCTTTAACAAGTAAAACAATATAACGAAAATAATCTGCTTTCATTACAGGTTCGGGCAATGATATATACGTTTGATAGATATAATCAGGCATTGTTCTACGAACAAAATTTTCAGCTATTGAATCATTATAATGTAT